CAACGTACATATGCTTCAGTGGTTCCCTTATCAAGCTTTGTAACGCTCTATCGGGTAATTCTCAGCCCACTACGCAAATATCTCAACTCCAAGGACTCCTAAAGCGCTTGCTCAGAAGAGAACAGATGGTTTTCTGTGGAACTTTTGTGAAAACGTGACAGTCGGAGTGCCTGAAAAACCTGAAGCTGCAGGGTGCAGCTTCAGGTTTGAGATAAACAGGAAGAGGGCAGGTTAAAAAAGGTGAGGTGGCGGCTGTGGTTGTTGATGAAGAGTCTTTACTCAGTGTGGTTACCTTTTCTTGGCTTTGCTCTCTTGGACTCTGCGTCGCCCCCCTCTCTCTCCAGTTTCTCCTCCCGCTCTTTCCAGCGCCGCACCTGCTCTTGGCGCATTTTCAGGAACAGTGTCTTTTTCTGCTCTTCGTTGAGGGCTTCCAGCACCTCAGGGTCAATGTACATGTCCTTTAAGATCTGCTGCAGCATGTTGGTGGCCAAATGGTTGGTGCGTTAACCTGGTACCACTTGGCAAGCAGTTGAAGCTTGCTTCTCGTAGTGCACAGTGTGTAAGGATGATTTATGGTCTCATGTCAGCAGAGGACTTTTGTAGCTTCTTGTTTGTCCCTAAAGTCACTCTTGAAGTCATGAATTAAGGTTCTTGCTCTTTCTACACATGCTTTTGTACAAGCTGTACTATCTCACTCATACAGACTGTCTTTCTCTCTCTCTCTCTCTCATACACACACTCTCTCTCTCACACACACACACACACACAAATCCTGCTTCCTTTCTATATTGTGTTCAGTTTCCCCATCAAGATGTCAGATTTCTTTGGCGGTCATCTTTGGCACAATCTATGAGAAAAACAAAACAAAGCACACAGTAAAGATCATCTTGCATGATTTTCAAAGCTGCAGTGTCTTACATATTTTCTTAAGAAACTTTTTTTCTTATTTCGTAGAAATATCTGTTTAAAGCAGTTGTCTTGTCCTTCCCTGCATGAATACGGAAGAGCCCAAAGCCAATTTCAACACTTTACAGAAAGTCTGCTACCCAGAATGGGAGGAGATTCCAAAGGAATGGGACTGCTTCTGACATCAGTGTCCCACCCTGCTCCTTCCTCTCCCCAAAACCATGTTCGTTTCTCTCTAAAACTCTCACAAGATAGCGCCCCCCACCTTTTTTTTTTTTTATTTAAAAAACATGGCCAGTGTCTGGTTGTAATGAGGGATAAAAATCTGGGTCATAGCACTGGACAGCGAGAGCCAGGTTGTCTAACAAGAGGATTGAAATGGACTCCTCCAGTCACAGTGGGTAGTTAAACAATGGCTACCACATAGGCAGCACTTGGAGGGAAAGAAAGCTCGTCTCAGACTGAAAACTATCACACTGGTGGAATACAGATTGGTGTCTGCTAAACACACCGCAGGGTGCAGAGAAGGAAACCAAAGAAAACAGGGGGGAGGGGGTGAAGTGGAGAAAATGAGTGCTACAAAACAAAAAGGGAGTTGTAAGAGAAGGTTAGAATTTGCTGAAGTACTCACAGTGGGATGTAGACAGCCGCTCCACAGCAGAGTATGCTAACTGAGCTGAGGGAGTCACAGCGCCTGTGGGTCCTCCTCGTCTTTGTGTGTATGACTGAGCTGATGACATCACAGCATTCCATAATCTCTTTACCTCCCTCTCCCTTCCTCTCTCTCTCTTTCTCTCTCTCTCTCTCTCTCTCTCTCTCACACACACACACACACACTAAAGCTACATTTAAGGCTACATTTCAACTTCCTGAGTTGGTCTCAGGAAGTTGAACTCACACTTTAAATAGCTAGAAAGAAAGGCATGCGTTCATGCTCATAACACACGTATTTTCCATATATTCAAAACATTTTCGCTTACACATATAATTCTACACAAATAATATTAAAAAAAATACAGCAAAGAAAAATTAGCTCTCTTCCTCCTGTATTTTCTTCCCTTTAACGACGCCTTTTAATTAAGAAATGCTATTTGCTAACGTTCGCGTTTAGCATTACCCAAAACTTCTAGCACAGCTTCTAGCATTATGTGAAACAACCGATGTGCCTTCTAGCATTATGCAAGTAACTGTTTGCTGTTTAATTTACCATGTCTTCTGATAGTTTGCACATTCAAGCCAGAGGAAATTTTCTCAGCTAACTGTCCTCCTCTGCTTATGAGCCATTCATTTTTAGGTAAAGAGCGGCCTCTACTGGTTAAGGCAATTGCTGTGATTTTAAAAAAAAGAAAGAAAAGGAGCCTGCCATGGATTACGTCACCATCCAAGCCAGTGCTCAACTACCTTAAACTACAGCACTAAACGAAAGCTGAATAAAAACTGTGCATAAGCACTTATGCACACTGACCGCATGGCTCCATAAATTTCGACTGCAAAACAGCGTAAATATACAATGCATGCAGACACCTGCACCTAAAAGGTAACGAGGGGCAGGATGCTTTTGTAGCAAGCCATTTGTTATAGTCAGCGGTGGCAAAGTGCTCATGTGATAATGGTCATGCTTCAAAATTAATAAAATGTAAGTTCTCTCATAGATTTAAAGTGTGGCACCTTGGATCAGACTAAACACCATCACAACACATTACAATGTGTTTTATGTTTAATAAGAGAATTTTTGTTTGATTAAATGGGGTTTATTCTTCTTTGGATGCTTTATAATCATGCTGTGACGACAGAGACCAGTTCTCTGTGTAGATTCTGGGATGAGGAGCAAAGTCGGAGTGTAAGCTGGCATCTGGGCTGGAGTCCATCTCGGTATAGCACATCCACTTCAGTTTTTTCACCCTCCATCTCATCTGGCAGGCTGGGACTATCAACTAACAACAAAGCACAAACATACATATGTCCTGGAGAAATACCTTTGGGCATGTCTAGAGAATTGACCTCCCAGCTCGTTATACTGTATTTACTCTTATGTGGGTTCTTCTGATAGGAGGAGAATGGTTGAAGCAATACAAAGGTACTCCGTGTGGATGGCCCAGAAATAAATCTGCCTCTATGCTCCATGATTTAGGACCTAGAAGCAACCCAAAGGGTGCTGCTGATATCACTTGGCCAATTTTCAGAATTTACATAATGATAATTAACATTTTCTATGTCATTTCATTTTATTAACAGAATTAAACCAAGACTTCAACTTGTTACAGGGAATCAGTTTTACTTATAAATAGCTATAAACTCAAGAATAGTGAGACGCATCCTAAAAACATTTGGAAGCAACTTTTTAAGCTCTTTTTTAAACTTCGATTTTTAGCTTAAATCTGACACCAAACGTATTAAAAAAGAAAAAAAAAAATAAGAAAGAAAAACAATCATTACAAAGATGTAACTTGAAACATGTGCAGGTTCTGTTGGGTCACGATCAATAAAGACTAATTTCTTTAGTTTTTAGATTAACAGAAAAACTCACAGAAGAGCAATTGTTGCATACAGATGATCACAAATTGCATAGTCGGGATAGTCAGAGAACAAAGTAACGCTTTATTTTACAGCCTGGTTTTACACATACAGTACTATTGTAGAAATCTCTAAGAAGACATGAGTCATCAGGTACTCGCCATTGCAAAATTTGCATTTTATAGGCTGTAAAATTAAGCTTTAGCAATTAGTATCATTGCAAATGTATAATCAGACATTGTAGACAGCACTACATAAAAATTGAACAGACTTTTCAGTGATTTCCCCCACCCCCATCCCACAACAAGAAATGAAACATGAAAAACACATACATTTTGAATATAGATTTTTTTCACCCTCATGGGTAAATTAAATTTATTCTTTTTTTATAATTTGTCAAATGTACATAAATTATATTTAATGCATCAAAAACCAAATGAGCAAATCAAATAACCTCATTTTTTTAAATAAAAAGAGGTAACAGAAAAGAGAACAACATTCTTTGTTGAGATCATTTTTAAACAAGTATTGGTCAGGCATTTCATTAACCTGGGAAAGCAAAGTGCTACACACAACAACCACTGAAGACAGTTCACCATACACCTTAATGAGGATTGGACTGAAGCACCTTTTCTTAGCTTAAAGCTAAAATGGAGATTCCAGGGATTTTTTTTCTTCTTTTTAAATTTTCCTTTTCACAAAAAAACGAAAGAAAAAACAAAACAAAGAAACAAAAAAAACTCCATTGTATGTTTACAGTCTACCTTGAACAAACCATTAGCCAAGTTTACCCTTTTCCTTGAGAGGGGCATACTTGCAGGGACAATGTTCGATTTCAAGTTAAAGTAAGTACGTGAACTGCTTGACTCAACAGGCTGCTAAGACCTTGGTTTACTATATTTTCCTCCAGGATGGAGCTTTGTGTGCAAATAAAGGCATACAATTCCTTCATGAGAAATAAACATGGAATTCAGCCATATGCTTTCAAATAGTAATCATATATTTAATTGATATACATATATTGCCACCATTGGCACATATGATATTGCACACAGTGATGAAATGTTGCACAGAAAGAAAAAAAAACAAAACGATATTTTTGTGGGCAAAAACATTCCAAAATTACAAATAATGTGGAATAATGCTGAAAAGGTAAAACTACATAAAAACAAACAAAAAACAAACAAACAAAAACCCCCACAAAACAAAACAAGACATGCTTGCTACTCCCCATTAATTGAGCAACTTACAACTTACACATAACTAACCCAAGCCATAAAACAAGCATTTTAAGGGGTGGGGTGGGGCTTTCCCATAACAACTGATACCATTTCAGGCCACTACTGATGTTCCCAATCAGCCCCTGCTCTCCCTGCTAATGCACATGGCTGGTGAAGAGCCATCTCTTCTGCATCATCTTGCATCTAGGTGACCACCCCCTTCCATGTTTACATGTAGGCCGATACCTGGATGGCTAGGGAATGGGGATGGCAATAAAGTTGGGGGAGGGGGGGGGGGCATTTTACAAGATGGAAAAGCCCTGCAAGGGCAGATAAAAAGAGGTCATGGTAGTAGGGGGACTGAAAGGTATCAGAAAAAAGTTAAAGTTAAGAATTCTGCTCCTTTTTTTCTAAAGAGTTTGTAACAAACACTTTTAGCACCACGAGTCGTGCGCTAGCACACAAGGGGGCTGAGACACAAGAAATAGAAGAAAGAGGAGATTTGAAAAAAAGAAGTAGAAGAAGAAGAAAAAAAAAAAGAAGCCATAACTGCGATCCAAAGCACCAGGCCAGCGTGTAAGCATGCGGAGTGTGTAAGGCACCAGGTTGTTTATATGCTGAAGAGGATGCTCCCAATCAGGTATCATTTAGGCTATACCAAAGGCTCCAAAAATAGGTGGTCAAGGACAGTCTAGTTTGCTGGTTTCCAGTCAATCTAAACATGGGAGCAATCATTTAATTCAATGCTGAGGTAAATCTGACAGTATCTGATTGTTGCCAGTTTCTCTGGAGTTTACTGACAGAGTTTATAAAACTGCTATCACACATCTATGAGATGCGACTGAACTGGATTAGAACCAGTTGTTTTCCGTGTGGCAGCCCAAATATTTACAATTAGACCAGAACAGAATCTCATCACCCCAGGTGGGTATTTGGGCTTACAAATCTAAAGCAGAGCTATGAGAATGTATCCAAAGTAGCCCCACACTGAACTTCACACCCTCAGATCTTAAAACGCAAGAAAGGAATGTGCACATCCAATGACATAACAGACATTCACCAACAGGTGAACCAGGCTGTCTTCACCTCGGCTAAGCCAGGCAAGCGCCTCAGTGGCCGTCCTCATAGTGTGATGGTGACATTTCGATTACTGTTCACAAGGTCGCTGCTTTTACAATCATGCTTTGAAACAACTTCCACTAGAACTACACCGAGCCTTTTGGATGGTAATCTCCCCCCCCCCAGTCCTCGAACTTGAGATTCATACAACATAGGCAGATAAAGATACGTATGGAAGGGTCTTTGAGACAATATTTTGGGAGACCAACGAAATCGTAGTGCAGATAAACATGCAGCAACAGCACTCCTTGGCACCATTTTGACTTTTATGACTAAACAAGATCACAAAAAGTTTGTTTCATATGTACTAACCGATTGCGCTCTTCCAGTTTTTACTATGCCAATCAACACAGTATATTCAGGGTCTTTTGCCTTGTTAAATAATCTGCAGTTCAGGCCATTTGCTACATGTTGTCTCTGCATTTCCTCTATCAAATACACATTTAGTACCTTTAAACTGAACACATTGCATTAACAACGAGACACAAAGGTAGTCTATTATATATCCATCTGCATGGCAACAATTTCAACTGAAACAAAAGTTACAATATTAATATATCTTTGAATGCCTCTGGCAAATGTCAAGATCCAATGACCAGTTCCTTATATGCAATGCATATTGCACAATAAATAGAGCACTTATTTCATTTCATGAAAATGCCTACACGTTCCTTTGTTTTGTTTTTTTAATATATATATATGTACTGCATGAAATCTTATCAGTTTCCGAAGCAGGCCTAGCCCTCATATGATTTATGTGTAAACACCTCTCTACTCACAGGTAAAGGTAAATAGGATGGCAAGTACATGTGACAACCTTTTACAAAGTTTTGGAATTTTGGTTTAAAAATTAAAACATCTGATTTGTGCTGAAGTCATTTAACTCACATGAGAAGGAAACTTTTTTTTGTCTCTCCTTTGAACTCGGCAATAATTCAATTTGAACATTGCAAACACTTTTTTTTCCTCTCCTCTTTACAATAGCTTTAACTGGTACAAAAGTTTTCTGTTAATAAGGGAAATAAACAGTTCAATATCGTTTGTCAAGTAGGAAACAATGTTCAAATATAATGTTATTACTTTGTTTAGCAGCCTGTTACTGTATTAATGGTGGTTAAGTGGGGTAACATCCAGCGATGAGTGACAACATGTCATAACTGTCAGGTCGTGGAGGTTTCTTATATTGTGGGTGATGCTCCCTTGGTTAAACCAATACAGTTAAATCTTTAGATTTCTTTCATTATACAGTAGAGTGTTTTCTTTTTAATTATAATTCTCTTGTTATTTTCATTACTCTGGCATGTTTTTCCTCTCTCTCTCTTTTTTCTTTTTTTTGTTTGCTGTCTATATCAATCCTCGTCTCCATCGTCCTGCTGCATCTCCTCTTGTTGCTGCAGCTCGCATGCCCTTTTCTCCCGCTGTTTCTCCTGGATCTTCTTCATCTCCTCGGCATATTTACAGAAAGTATTCCCAAATTTGGACCACACTTTGTAGGGCACTGTAATTGAGTTGCGGTACGTTGGCTTCACCTCGCTTACCCTCATAAACACACCGTACTTATTGGATCCGACGTCGAAGAAAAACCGTTTGTTGTCCACAGTCAACGATGACCCTTCGGGCAACTCTGCAGGTTCGTCCTCTACACCATAATCGTCAATAAGTTTAGCCAAAGCGTCACGAAACTCAATAAGTCCCTGGGCAGGCAGAGCAATCGTCTGGCCTTGCGTGAATCCCAAACCGGGCCCCCGGTTAACGGTCTGTCGAATCCTCAGAAACCGTCCCCGCTGGTTCTCTTTCAGATCCATATAGTATTTCCGATTTTCTCGGACCAAGAACTCGCTTTTGAGGGCTCGCCTGGGCTCGTCTTGTACCATCCCCGGGTTGCTCGGACCCAGCTGGGCATAATGTTCGATGAAGTCCCCCAAGTAGTCACGGAACTCAACCGCCACGGACATGGAGAGAGTGAGGCGGCTCTTGTTTCCACCGGCCCCGACTTCTGCTATCTTTAAGAAGCGGCCTTTCGCGTTCTGCTTAACGTCCAAATAGAAACGTTTGTTTTGGATGTCAACCCTCTTCGACGCCAGCTCTTGGGTCTCATGCTGGAGCCCGGAGGCCGAGCCCGCCCCTCCTGTCGCTAGGTGCATGGAACCGAAGCCTGGGCCCGTAGCTGCTCCTCCCTGCTCACTTCCACTGTCTCTGTCCGCCATGATGCTGCCTGCCTGCCTTCTCCCTCTGTCTGCTGCACAGCCACAGCGAGCCGGAGCTCTCGCGAGATCTACACAAGAGTATAAAAAATAAAACGAGAAGGGCGCTTAACGCAGAGCGATTGCCATGTGTTTTAATGCCCTTTATGCCACACCGCACGACTAATGTCATAAGCTGTCACTAACATTGAAAGCGAAACCTACGGTTGTTGGAGGAAATGCGTCTACCAGCCCACATAAGTTTCGTTTTGTCTGTACAGCTCCCGAAAAGCCAGGTGCTTTTCCAACCTGGAAAGACCCAGGCTTGCCCTCAAGTTTTTATCTAAGAAAATAGCCTTCTAATGCATCACCAACTTCACATCACAAGTGTATCTGTTTACGTGGGATGTGCTAACGAGTTTGTGCTCAAAGAGTTGAAGAATTAAAAAATAATAATCTTGATTTACAAGTCACAAGAAAATCGGTCTATACATATTATTTAACAGGACCGCATTAGCAGCAATACAAATAATAGCAGGACTGATAAAACGAATAGCTTGTAACGAATAATTAGTTTTCACTCTAAGCGACAGTCAATTATTACATAATTTATAATACTTCTTACCTTTTATACATTGTATTGGATTTCTAGGCTACTAAACACTGATATCAGCATTAGAATTAGAAATTATTTTACAGGAAGTTTAGTTTAAAATATATGCTATGTATAGCTAATAATACAAATAAAAAATATATATATTAATTTTTAGTTTCCGATTCCCGTTTTATTTTATGAGCAGTTTTGTTCTATAACGCCATATCATGTCAGAAAGGGAGAGAGAGCCGCCATGTTAACTGTGTGGGAATAATATGAGCAGAGGTGGGTCTCACAACATTGTTTCAGCAACTCAGCTAAGTTTCCCCACCCTAGAGGCTACTTACCTCTGCTTAGATAAAAGACGGAACAACTAGGCTAGTTTTAATACCACCAGTCATTCCTCAGTTTGAAATCTGTAAAGGTGAAATTTTTTTTTTTACAAAGGTTACATTTTTTTATGTAGCAAAACATCCAATGAGCGTGCTTGGTATGCCTACGGGACATGCTGCCAACATCAAGGCTAACACACACAGAAGGCGTGAAAGTGTAGCAACCCCTCCTGTAGCTTACGTTCATGAAAGAAAGGTGCTGTTTCTAAACTCTGACTTTGTGGCGACTATTTCTAAGGTAATCTTACCCACTTATTCACGCCTTAAGATAGAATTGTATCACCCAGGTGTCCAAGCAAGGTCTGAACGCTGTCTCAGCGGAGCGCCCTGCAGCTCGCAGGCCTGCCTCATTAGTACTTGGGCCTCCTTCTCTTCAGCTGTTCAGCGGCGGCATTGTCTGCTCCGGGTCAAAGCTCTTTCTTTCATTTTATTTTTTCTTACTTGCGCAAATATGAAATATGATGGGCAGACCTGGGCTAAGATAGTCCAGCTCATTTGCTCTGGTATTATTTTGCGCATTTCAAGTAAAGCCAGTGCATGGATTGATAATGAGAAAAGATCAAGGCATGCACATCTGGGCCTACACAGATTATTACTGTCTAGACCACGACGATCTACTGAGGTTCGATTAGAGCATAAAAATAAGTAGTAATAAAGCCCCAAATAATTAAATAATAAAACCATCTTAACTTAAATTCTGCACAAAAAATAAAATACAATAATCAATGCTGGCGAGACTTTTTTTTTAAAAAAAAATTATACGAAGGACCTTTTTTTAGTCTTACTTCCGATTTACCTGGAAAACGATTTAAAAAATAAAAAAAAGAGTGCCAAGACCTTTTACTCGAGGCATCTATGAGCCTGTATAGGGTATATGTATTTTTAATTTAGCATAAATCTTCTGCCCTTCTTCCGCCTTTTCTAATTCCGTTTTCATATTTACCTCAAACTACTTTAGATTGCCTCCAAATCATTTTTACGACCAAAGATAAACAGCGCAAATAGGTTTTAAATGTAAAAATCGCTTAAATAGTGATTCCAGAGTTTTATTCAAGTGCACTACAAAGAGTTAGTATTATTAAAAGAAAATAAAATTTAGTATTCAGTCAGGGACTGTGAGACAGCTGTATAGGCCTCGTCTATATGATTACACTGCAGAAAGCCCAGAATTTAAAATATAATTTTTCCCCCCGCCGCTCATTCTTGCAGACTCGTTTATGTGTCGCTGCCTAGTCCAAATAAGGGAAAATGGTAAGATGTTTAACTGTGGGTATCCTTTAGGCACTATTCGTTCTTCACTTCACAAACAAGACCGAGCATTGAACCTCAAACTTTTATTTAGAATAGAAAATATCAACTGCATCGATGGAAACGTTGAGATTGTATACGTGATTAATTTACCTCTCAAAGTTGAGATTTCTTCTCTACCTTCCCACAAGACTGTTAGGCCTGACTGAAGCCAGTCATACAAACAAACTCAACGTAGAAACTTAAAAATAAAGTAAAATAAAATAAAAATAAACATGTATGCATCTTGACTTATAGATACTACTTGATTTCTCAGGCGTTAAATATTAAAGCAGTAATTTGAAGTGTTTTACATTTAAAATGCTGTATGCATTCTGTATGTTTACAGTAATCATTTCAAATGCTTATTGTTTTTCAAAAAAATGTGAAAAAAATATTGAATCATTTAAAAAGTTACAAATATTTAAAAAATTATAATTTATTTAAACAAATAATGAATAATAAAATGTGAAGCAGGAGGACGCTGAAATATCCGGAAGATGCTAAGAGAGAAGTCGCATTCAAGAAAATTATTCCCTCTAAAATTCCCTGAAAAAGAATTTAGGTCGCTCTTCTACTTTGTCCATCACTAGTGTAAATCAGAGCTGCAGGTGAGGCGACAGAAGCATGTGGGCCTTAAGAGGAAACAATACTCTTGACTAATTTTCTCCTTCTTTTAAACGTTCTCTTAATCTTTATCCACCTTTTCTATTTTTTATACACATAAACATTCAAACATGACCTATTCTGCGCCTCAAAGGGTGATTCATTCCCCAGTAATTCCCACTTTGATTAAAAAATAAATGAATAAATTGTGATTAAAAACCTAACAACTGCGCGAGGATTAAACCAATGACAATTTTAGAGTCTAAACGTGTAACGTGCATCATTGTGATGTTCAGCGTGAGGTTGGCCTGTTGGTTTTCTATGCAAAAAAAATCAACTAAGTTTGTCCGCACCTGCTCACAGTGAACCTCTCTCACTATTTCATTGCCACTCTCCAGGAAACTCTGAGTACAAGCTTGTATTCTTTTCATTAAGTATTTCTGCTGAAGAGAAGTCAACTCTATGCTGTCTTTTTTTTTTTTTTAAGGACGTACCCTTCCTTTTTATTGTTATTTTTTTCTAAATAGATGAGCGCAATAAACACCGCTGTGGATGCACGTGAAATGGGTAAGTCATTCCTATTGCACTGAATGAAGGAACAGCACTGCAAACTTACAGGCCTCGTTTGTGTATAATGTGTCGGATTTAAAATGGCCTTACCTCTCTGGGCCTCAGATTGCAATGGAACCACTCATTTAGAATTTCATCGGACTTTCTAATCAAAGCGTTTACTGTGGCAAGCTCATCTTTGTCTGAACAAAGTTACACCTAAAACACTATATACGCCTCTATATACGCAGATTTATGAAGACAGATGAATAACTTATCAGTTAAGCCACAAATTCATCATCAGTCGGTACTTGGCCTATTTTCTTTCTGACAATTTTAAATTATGGACGTGGATCATACATGCAGGTCTTTTTCGGATCCCGAGATCGCATCCAATGCAGTTTTCAGCCTCAGAAAGTGTTGTCGCAGTTGGTAAAAGACAGCCGCTGTGATCACCTCCCAAAGTTTCTCCCTACATCCCAGCATAGGAAAGCGGTGGCATCGCTCCAAATGCAGCTCCATTTTTTTTTTTTTTTTCATTTTTCGTTTTTTGTATCAGATCAGACAGATCGGTCGTACAGTGAAGTATTCATGCTTCTGTAAACTCTCCTAAGCAATGTCATATGCTTGGCTGCACGTCAGGACACTTACAGCACAGCAACAATCCGAATGACTTGTAAATAAAGCGTCATTCCACCGAGCGAGACTCCATAACCTACCTTTACCCCGCTCAGTCTGCAGGCGCAGCGCCTTAAAACCTCGACGGCCTGCCGCAGATGGCGAGACGAGGCAAAAGACACATGTGAATGCGCTCGGACTCCTGCGTGACAGCGACACAGACTGCTCCTGCTTGCTTCACAAGATGGACAAGAAACGGAGAGTCGTGGCACGAAGAGCGACACACGCACAATTCAACGCCGCTGCACGTTGCATGATGTCAACACGCAAATGTTGGAAACTCGGTTCAAGGGCGCCACTTCTCGGCGACACTGGGGAATTACAGTATTGCCTTTTTGACTGTAACAGGTATTGGGCAACATTTCTGGGAACTGTAATGCAGGTTAGCGTCTAAAGAAGTGAAATCCGAGCGTAGTTTTTGCGTTAATGTTATGAACTTGTGTTTTCCACTTTGCCAGTGGCAAAATGAAGGAATGAATGATCTCCAAAAGTTGATTCTGTTCATCTGGACGTAGCGTTTTCAGTGGGAGAAACGTTTAATCACTCTAATTATTGGTTTTCCTATCAAAAATATATTCAAAAACGTATGACAAAGTCCTATGTCATGGCTCTTTGAGCTGCCACTGAAAAACTAAAGTAACTATTTATAGTAATTCCCAGCCAAGAATTGATAAAGTAGCTCTGATCTTAAAGGGGAAATCTAGCACTACTATTATATATTATGTGATTGCTCCTTAAATGCTTGTTCCACCAATTCCTACATCATCGCATCTATCCCGCACTGGTCTGCAGAGTGCTGTTTAAAAATCGCATTCTCAATTATAGGTGCTGACAGGAGGACTTTAGTCCACACGGTAATGTCTTGTCTATTGTGAGCGTGTTTGACATTAACACTCTATAGGCCTAATTCAAATTTCAGCACCACGGAGAGCAGCCAGGTCTGTTACAAGCTGGCAGGTGGTGCACTTAAATGAAAACGCAAGTAACTCCATTGTGTTGTTTTAAGTTACAGTATCGTTTTGAGAGTCTTTGGCTTCCTGGTTTTAGATTGATTTATTATAGAATTTATACCCTGACCTTTTTACCTTTTAAAGGTTATTTCACTTAATCTTGTGCACCTTTCATTTTGAGCCAAATTCAAATCTAGCACCCTGCGTGGTCGCTTGTTTGATGAACATCAGCAGTTGTGTAGGGTATGTTACTGACTCCCAACTACTCTCTGGTCAGCAGATGTCGCTCTTTGTGATGCAGTTACTTTAACATCATGTATCCGCATTCAGGCTAAAACCAAACCATTATAAATTTCAACTTTAGTTATATTTGGTATGACGATAATCAGTATTCCTATGTTAATTTGTGTAGTTATGTAACGTGACGTTTGTCAAAGTGCTCTGTCAGAACTACCCTGAATTAACACGTTTAAATATATATTTAAAAAAAATACTTTAACAATTTTCCTTCTTGTAGAGTAAAATAGTTCATCTGCGGTTTGGACCCCGGTGTTGCAGCTCTATAGATTTAATGCGGTCTTCCTTCAACAGCGGTTTTTTTCTTCTTCTTCTTTTTCTTTCTTTTTCTTCTTCTTCTTTTTTTTTAGAGGCAGAGCAGTGAATGTGACCTGAATGCAGGGCATGACTTAATGGGATGAGACGCAAAACTCATTCAAAACAGTCTCTTGAAGACTCCGAAATGCTTTCGCAGCCTTAGTCATCGCAGCCATATGATTTCTCTGGGCTCAGCGGGTTTCCGTGTGAACCTGTTTCGGTTTTTGGAGCGATGCCTTGGCTACAGTGAAATGCGATTTTGAGGAGGGACAGTCATGGATTTTGGATTTCGTTTGTTTCATTATAACGTGAGGTCGCCACCGATAAAAGACCATGGAGTGATCGGCATACAGTAGCGGGGTTTGGGGAGTGAGGAGAACGACCCTTCGGTGCGTCGGTTGCCCGTGTCAGAGCTCCAGTTCTGCGTTTTTTTTCTGTTGACGGAGCCTCTTGGCAATCGGCATTATTTTCTGTCCGTCTGTGGCTCGTAGGGGAGGCGGAGAGAGAGCCGCGGTGGAAGGCGGCGTATTAGCGCTATAGCTGCCGAACAGAAATAATTGTTTTATTTTAATTTTAATTTTTTTTTTAAATTTTTCTTTTCTTTTCTTTTCTTTCTTCTTTTTTGAAGGGGTGGGGGGAATGAAACGTGGCTTTTGTTTTGCGAGCGGACTACCAAACTTGTGGTTCACTGCAGCATTTTGCGTCTTTTCTCTCCGCTGCAGATGATACAGAAAACCATCATAGCGGTACCCCACCACTGCAATTTTTGGGCAAAGATAAGAGTGGCGTCGTCTTGCAGTTAAGGCTACTATGGCAGCGTAGGAAGCATCTTCTGGAGAGAGTGAAACCGCCGATTCCTTGCTTAGCATGTCTACGATGCCTTATTATTAGTAGAAATCAGTGACTGGATTTGAAACCCAGCGTCATCCCGCGGTTCCAGAGCTACTGTTTACCCACTGAAAATCACCCGAAAAAGCAGCGGATCCCGATGGCATGGACACTTATGCAAGGTCTGCCGCGCTGTCGTGCTACTGGAGCCTACTTGCTGTCTCTTCATTCAACCCAGCTCCATCGCCATCGCCCCGCAGCCGAGAGAGCCCTGCCGCAACGCGACCAGCGACCACCGAGCCAAAGCAGGCGGCATGAGGCTTGATTCAGTACATTTATCCATGCTGGTCATCGGGGTCTCATTCGCCTGCTACTCCCCGAGTTTGAATTCCCTGCAGGACCAGGCTTACAAATCCGCCGTGGTGATCGAGGGCAAGGTGCAGTCTACGCCTGTGAACGTCTCTGCGGAGCCGTACCGTGTGAATGTCAAAGTGCTGGATGTTTGGCCCCTAAACAGCGGGGGTCTGGAGCGAGAACAGCTCGTCACCGTGGGGGAATTTGGATCTGAGGCTCCGTGCACCAAAGTGAAGAAAAACCACAAGTACATTTTTTTCATGGACCCCACTGACGAGCCCTTGGTTTTTAAGGCATCGTTCGCGCCTCTTGACACCAGTGGAAAGAACCTAAAAAAGGATGTTGGAAGGATCTTGTGTGAGGACTGCGGTAAGTCAATGTAGCCCTAATGTGGAATACCGGTGAAGTCCAACCCGGAAGAATCAACGTTGTGTTAACAGCCCCGGGCTTGGGGCTTTTGGTAACAGGCACTCTGGTGAATTGTGGTTATTGTGGCCACAGCATGGCTTGGAGTCACTGGGTACCAAATAGGTGCCTAAGGGGCGTCTATGCAGCAATTTTCGACAACTCTCGCAGGCTCCCATAGCCCACATGATCAATCAAACTCTCTTTCTCTCTCCCATTCTCCCTGAACTGCAATAGACAAGCGCCTCGCACTGTTGCTAGTGAGGAATTGCAGTTTATGTGTACTTTACTATCTGCAGCCAGGAAAGCTGCTTTATTCTTTGACATTTCAGACACATTGCAGTGCACGTTTTACTTGTCGTTAGTCATACAATCATTGCAGCTTTCCAAATATCCTCGTGGCTTCTTTTATGATACGTCAAACGCTTACATTTAAAGGAGCGAGCAACATTTCAGGACCAGGGACAGCGGCCTGTATCACCGGTATCACGTGTTGAAAATCACGCTGCCCTAGGCAAATTGGCTCCTAGGCTATATTTAGGCTACCGCCCTGCTTTAATGCTTTAATGCCACACTTTGTCGTAGCAGCAGCAGAGCAGGTCTGTCTGTTTGCAGACAGACCTGCTCACATGCTAAGGGCTAGCACTGTGCTGTAGCTGAATCCTGAAACGTGATGCTGTGATTGAAAATGTCGAATTAACAACTTTCCCACGTCACACTCAAGCATTTTCCTTTTCTTGTTGGTAGTTTAAGAAATAACTTTGGTCTGTAGATGTTGTCTTTAGAGAGTAACTTTAAAACAATATCCAGGACATTATGTTTGCAGTGAGGCATCATGACCCATTGAGAAAATCAGGTTTATTGACAGCAGATATTTCAAAGGAAAATAACTTTGCTATTTTCTTCTTTTGTTAGATTATTTTCTTGAGGATGTGGAAATTACGGAGTACAAAAAATAAAGGAAACTGTGGTGCAACAGGCTGCACTCATATCCTGAATTATTGTACATATGTAGATGGACACAGATTTTTGCTTTTTCACTTGATTTGCATAAGCAATGCTGTTTTCAGTGCCCTTTACTAGGCTAAAATGAGCCCCTACTACTTTAATTAGAAAGTAGTGCAAGTGTCTGTAACATGAACTTAAAGGCCGCATAGTTCCTTCATTGTGTCTAGGCTATGGTGTTTGCTACTCAGCTGTAAAATCTTGCTTGCCTGTCTTCCACACTTCTTCCACAATGTTTAGGACACACATTTGCACTTCCATTGAAGCACTGCGGCCTAAAATGTGATGTGTGTCCTGTACTGCTGCTGTCTTAAATCCACTTAGTCTGTACTCATGAGACACAAATTCTCCCCTCTCCTCTTGATTGTGCCACTCTCACTGTGGCTTTTAAACTCATCATCTTGTTAGAGAGGTAACAGAAAATGGACCCTATTCCCTTTTGGATTCCCTGAACAGCCCAAACAGCCCTTGTCAATTTTTCTGGCACTTATCAAAGCTTGTCAGTGATGTGATCAAACTGGCACAGCCACCTATTGTGTCACTTTGAGTTACCACACCCAGTTCCCGGGCCTTTTATTTATTTTAAAGAACCCATCAAAGTATGTGGTTATACATGGATATTAAAGATGATGGACTTCCTATTAACAGATCTCCCCAGAGTTTCTTTTCTGACCCCCCTCTCCTCCCCATTTATGGCTTGTCATGCAAACAGTAACAATATCCTCGTGACACTTTCAGTTCCTTTCTTTGTTCAGCACTAACCAAAGATCACCAACTTTATGGTGACTTTTTTGTCATTTAACTATCTCTTAATGTTTGCTCATATTTGTTTTGGCTTAACAAATCTTGTCTAGGCCCAGAGACTGATTCGAGGTCTTCTTAGCACCCCC